TTTTTTCTTCTATGAACTTTACAGTTTTAGGCTTTATATTCAGGTCTTTGATCAATTTTGAAGTATCAACACTACATTATTAACCTCTACACTATGGCACCTTCCTCATGTTGGTGGCTAAGGGTTAGTTAGGTTATAAAGGGTATTTATTGTATGCTATACTGAGGTGCTTGGACTCTTTTTTTTTAATTGATGAGGAGCTAATGAAAAATTTTAATCAGGTCAGATTTGCATTTTAAATAGATCAGTATGGTGTTGTGGAGAATGGAGCTAAGATGGTGGTTCTCAGCCTTGGGTGCCCATTGGAACCACCTGGGGAACTTTTACAGCTACCTTGTCTACCTTAGACCGATTAACTGAGAACCTCTTGGCCAGGTATCAATATTGTTAAAGCTCCCTAGGTGATTGCAATTTTCACTCAAGGTTGAAAACCACTAATCTAAGGGGATAAACCCAGAGCAGTGGTTCTTAAACTTTAACATGTGTCAGAATCACTTTGAGGGTTTGCTAAAATGAAAATGACCAGGCCCCATCTCCAGAGATTTTGATTAAGTAGGGCAAGGTTGGAACCTAAGAATTTGCGTTTCTGACACTTTCCCAGACAATACTGGTGCTGCTAATCTGGGGACTACACTTTGAGAACCACTGACCTAGAGAGATAGGGAAGCTGATTAGAAGGCTCTTCCAGTAACTAAAAAAGAGGGAATAAAGGCTTGAACTTGAACTTGATAGTGGAGGTGTAGAAAATGGGGCAGAGTTGAGAATAATTTAGTTGATAAAGTCAACAGGATTTGGTTGACTGGAGGTGGAGAGGTGTGGGAGAAAGGAGGTGTCAAAGATAACTTCTGGGTTTTTGCTGTTGGTACCAGGTGGTGATATTCATTGACGAGGCATCACAGGAAGAGGAGCAGGTTTTGTGGGAGACATCATAGTTTTGGACACTTAGTTTGAGGTGCATGAGCAGAAGTGTAACTAATATATGGCAGGTAGGGTGTGTGCCCTAGGCGCCCCTTGAGGAGGGGTGGTAACGAACAGTTCCTGTTGGCCATCGTATTTTCCATTGCCAGCTGTGAGAGATCATTCAGCCATTTAACACTAAGTGCCATAGGCACTGTTTTCCATAGGATAGGCCCCTGTGCATGAGGAACATCTAGTGGACATAGTTGGATATGATAATCTTAACTCAGGGGAGAGTTCAGGGATACAGATAAGATCTTGGGGAACCATTAGTATACAGGTGGAATATAACTGTGGGTTGACCAAGGAGAACAGGTAGATGAGTTCACAACCTTTTTGTCTTCCCAGCACAGTAGAGTAGTGTAAAACTCCTTCCAGTAACAGCGTTCACAGAGGCAGTGGTTCTCAGACCCTGGGAAGTATAGTCTGGCAAAAGTCCCCTGCCCCCAGTATTTCTGATATGCACATCCTTCTCTTTGAAAATCACTGGCTTAGAGAGGGGAGCAGTGGGCCAAGGAAAAAACACTGGGGAACACTAATTTTTTTTTGTAATTTTTTTCATTGTACTTTAGATGAAGGTTTACAGAGCAAATAGTTTCTCATTGAACAGTCAGTATACATAGTGTTTTATGACATTGGTTAACCCACCCCACGACGTGTCAACACTCTCCCTTCTCGACCTTGGAGGACCTTTTTTATGGTGAAAATATATATAGCCAAAGTTACACCATTTCAAAAGTTTCTACATGTACAATTCAGTGACATCGATTACATGCTTCCAGTTGTGCTGCTATTCTCACTATCCTTTTCCAAATTATTCCATCACCATTA